CCAAATTATTAAAGACAGAAGCGAATCCCAAAGGTTCCATCTGTCGTCCACAGAGCCTTGAATTCCGGCGTAGAACTTGGTTTACCAACCAATCCACCCATTTCAAAAAAACCCATTAACCCACCTTGGTCGGATGTATCCAATTTGATAGATACAACTCTGCGTAATCTACCGAAAGCCACCACTCCACAACTAGTCTAACAGCAAAAGTTTCTCGAATTCAAAAACAAATACCCGACCAGCACATTCATCTACACCGATGGTTCCAAAATTTCAGGCGCGACATCCTTTAGTGTAGTATCCAACGACATAAGCCAACAGCACTTACTACCATACTATAGCTCCATCTTCTCTGCCGAAATCATTGCTATCTACAATGCAGTCCATTTAGCTCAACACTCTACTACTATAAAAACTTGCCAAGATGTTCATTTAATTTTAGTCAGCATGAGCCCTTTTGCGTGCTTTCTAATAATTATAACAACCTATATCATTTAATTTGTTCCTCAACTTCTATCCCTATATTAAAAACTTAAATCTTTGCTCATTTGCTTTAGTCTTGTTGATCTATGTTTTGTCCTGTCCTTATTTGTTCTATGTACCTTCCTCGCGAACCGTATTTGCCCAAAATAAAAATGGGCCCGCGCGTAACAAGCACGTGCTTGGTGTTGTTTGGGCCACTTGTTTGTACTGCTCTTAGTTCATCAACGTTCAACAATTAAAAAAAAATATTGTACGTCTTCGTTTCGGACACACTAACTTAACCCATAGGTATCTTTTTACTCGCCCTCCCACAACACCCTCTTGCCCCCTATGCAACAACGAAATAAGAACTCCTCGACACATCCTAATAGAATGTTCCTATCTCGATTCCATAAGATCGTCTCTCTTCACTTCCACAAACCCCTTACAATCCATATTTACCCCAGCGCACCACAAATAAAAAACATTATAAAATTCCTTAGCTCTAACTAATATAACTAATGAAATTTAATAAGCTTGTAAACTTATAGATAAAAGATGTTATGAAATGAATAATGCAATTTGTTATCTAGTTTTTAAGCTTAAGGCCACGTAGCTATAGCTTAATTTAAGTTCGCCTGTAAATTTTACATTATAGTCGAACATTTTATAATAATAATATAACTGAAATGCATTAGTCTCGTCAATACCTATCGATTGATCCAAAAAAAAAGTTTGCCACGCCCACTCTAACGCCAATAACGCTTAAATCTCTCTACCGCCCACATAACCATATATTGAGATCAGGGGTAGGTGGCGCATTTCAGTCTCGCTTTGCTGCTTGCATATCTCCATTTCCCTATTGTCCCTTTAGCTGAGTAACGGGTATCTGATAGTCGAGGTACTCGACTATAGCGTTCTTCCTTGTTTTTGTTGAATTCGAACCGGCGGCTAATAGCAAAAAAAATTCATGAGATTAAGACACTTTGTCGGCAACGAGTTTAAGTTAAACACCTTTACAGAATGGATGATTTCGTTTAATGCCACCGGTGCCAAGTATTAGGACACACTACAAATCATTGCCAAAAGCTCTGCAAATACGTCAGATGTGGCCTGCACCGTTTGAGAGTTTGTTCTTATTATCAATACCTATCTACACGTTCAAAATTTTTGAAATCAGACCAGTCATTAAGACCGAATAATAATAAATATTTTGTAATTCAATCGAGATGGCACACCACATGCAGCAAATAAGCTGTGTTCACTAATAAGCCAATAAGCCGCTAGGGGCGATATAAGCTAGTTTGCGCTGCAGGCCAAGTGGCGCGTTAATGGAAGTAGAAGGGGGCGCTATAAGCTAGGTGTGTTAGTAAAAAAAGCACAGTTGCTTTAAGCATATCTCCATCCCTCTCGCACTCACTGCGGCTGAGTAACCGGTATCTAATAGTCGAGGCCATCGACTATAGCGTTTTATCTTGCTTTGACTAAAAAGGTGGAGCAACAAATATAAAACCTATTTAGTTTATACGCCCAGAAATATTGAGAACGGAAAAAACCGAGATTGGTTCTTCTCGGTTTTAGTATTGTTTCTTCTCACATTTTTCTTCTCGGGTTCATGACGGAAGCGATGTCGATTTTACTATTCCGAACTAAAATCAATTTCGGTTCTGTGGTTGTTGACGAGAGTCGTGAAGTGAAGACGTAGAAAAAAAAAGAGTGAGAGGAGAGAGACCAAACTCCTCTCTTGAAATTACCTGAAAGTTATCGAAATAAACGGCATCTAAATCGATGCAAATTCACTTCTTTGTATATGGTGGAACTGTGCGGCTTAATGAGTGAGAACGACCAAAAACTGGAGGACTTGCTCCGAAAATTCAACCCAATAAAAGCCCTTCCATATTAACAGCGTAAGTAAAATGATTTTTTCACAATTTGTGTTAGTGTGTTAGTATATCTTTCATTTTTATTCGAACACGTTTTTCTTAACAAAACGAAATCTGTAATGTGTTGTTATGACTGTTTTGCATACATTCATATATACACAAACATAAACGTAACGTAACGAAAACTAATAATTATTAGCTTATAAGCTAATGTGTGAAATAATTAAGAAAATTTGATGCTATTAGCAAACAGAGATTTCTATGAATATATGTTTGTATGTTAGCATACCCAAGCACGCAGCCCAGTTTTTTATTCGACTTGTAACTACGCAGTTTGCATATACAACATAACCTCAAATGTACACCTACATACCCTTCAGTTCGGCAGTAGGGTCGCGTTGACATGGCTCAAGGCAAAAAGCTTTTTTTTTTGTGTCTAAAACGCTGTGCCGTTGTTGACGTTTTTATTTCAATTCTTGAAGGCTAAACCTTAGCGGAGAATATGCGCCATTGATCACGAAAATCCGTTGGTAAATCGATTTTTTACAGATTTTTAAACGTGTATACCCAAGTTCAGTATTCGGGAGCAGCGGCCGTTAAACGTTATTTTAAATTTTCAGTGTTGTGGAACGTAAGAATTTTGTGCAAGTAGTTATGCATAACGTCAAAACTGTAAGAGCCACAGTTTTGGGCGGTTTGTGGGCGTTAGAGTGGGCGTGCCACTCTGCTGAAACAAACTTGCGCTGCGCAGGAATCTCAGGAATCTGCACTCCTAGTCCCAGAATTGTAGCTTGTATAGTTTCCGAGATCTTAGCGTTCATGCGGACAGACGGACAGACGGACGGACGGACAGACGGACAGACGGACATGGTCCTGATCCTGATCCTGATCAAGAATATATATACTTTATGGAGAATCTAGTATACCCTTTTACTCTACGAGTAACAGGTATAAAAAGATAAACAAAGACACACAAATAAATATTGACCCCCTCCTCAATGATATCCACTCTTGGTGTGAATACTCCAACGCTATAAAACCCATCCTTCTCTCCCATAACTCTCTGCTAAAATCTATAGTTACCAAATTATTAAAGACAGAAGCGAATCCCAAAGGTTCCATCTGTCGTCCACAGAGCCTTGAATTCCGGCGTAGAACTTGGTTTACCAACCAATCCACCCATTTCAAAAAAAACCCATTAACCCACCTTGGTCGGATGTATCCAATTTGATAGATACAACTCTGCGTAATCTACCGAAAGCCACCACTCCACAACTAGTCTAACAGCAAAAGTTTCTCGAATTCAAAAACAAATACCCGACCAGCACATTCATCTACACCGATGGTTCCAAAATTTCAGGCGCGACATCCTTTAGTGTAGTATCCAACGACATAAGCCAACAGCACTTACTACCATACTATAGCTCCATCTTCTCTGCCGAAATCATTGCTATCTACAATGCAGTTCTTTTTAGCTCAACACTCTACTACTATAAAAACTTGCCACGATGTTCATTTAATTTTAGTCAGCATGAGCCCTTTTGCGTGCTTTCTAATAATTATAACAACCTATATCATTTAATTTGTTCCTCAACTTCTATCCCTATATTAAAAACTTAAATCTTTGCTCATTTGCTTTAGTCTTGTTGATCTATGTTTTGTCCTGTCCTTATTTGTTCTATGTACCTTCCTCGCGAACCGTATTTGCCCAAAATAAAAATGGGCCCGCGCGTAACAAGCACGTGCTTGGTGTTGTTTGGGCCACTTGTTTGTACTGCTCTTAGTTCATCAACGTTCAACAATTAAAAAAAATATTGTACGTCTTCGGTTAGGACACACTAACTTAACCCATAGGTATCTTTTTACTCGCCCTCCCACAACACCCTCTTGCCCCCTATGCAACAACGAAATAAGAACTCCTCGACACATCCTAATAGAATGTTCCTATCTCGATTCCATAAGATCGTCTCTCTTCACTTCCACAAACCCCTTACAATCCATATTTACCCCAGCGAACCACAAATAAAAAACATTATAAAATTCCTTAGCTCTAACTAATATAACTAATGAAATTTAATAAGCTTGTAAACATAGATAAAAGATGTTATGAAATGAATAATGCAATTTGTTATCTAGTTTTTAAGCTTAAGGCCACGTAGCTATAGCTTAATTTAAGTTCGCCTGTAAATTTTACATTATAGTCGAACATTTTATAATAATAATATAACTGAAATGCATTAGTCTCGTCAATACCTATCGATTGATCCAAAAAAAAAGTTTGCCACGCCCACTCTAACGCCAATAACGCTTAAATCTCTCTACCGCCCACATAACCATATATTGAGATCAGGGGTAGGTGGCGCATTTCAGTCTCGCTTTGCTGCTTGCATATCTCCATTTCCCTATTGTCCCTTTAGCTGAGTAACGGGTATCTGATAGTCGAGGTACTCGACTATAGCGTTCTTCCTTGTTTTTGTTGAATTCGAACCGGCGGCAAATAGCAAAAAAAATTCATGAGATTAAGACACTTTGTCGGCAACGAGTTCAAGTTAAACACCTTTACAGAATGGATGATTTCGTTTAATGCCACCGGTGCCAAGTATTAGGACACACTACAAATCATTGCCAAAAGCTCTGCAAATACGTCAGATGTGGCCTGCACCGTTTGAGAGTTTGTTCTTATTGTCAATACCTATCTACACGTTCAAAATTTTTGAAATCAGACCAGTCATTAAGACCGAAAAATAATAAATATTTTGTAATTCAATCGAGATGGCACACCACATGCAGCAAATAAGCTGTGTTCACTAATAAGCCAATAAGCCGCTAGGGGCGATATAAGCTAGTTTGCGCTGCAGGCCAAGTGGCGCGTTAATGGAAGAAGAAGGGGGCCCTATAAGCTAGGTGTGTTAGTAAAAAAAGCACAGTTGCTTTAAGCATATCTCCATCCCTCTCGCACTCACTGCGGCTGAGTAACCGGTATCTAATAGTCGAGGCCATCGACTATAGCGTTTTATCTTGCTTTGACTAAAAAGGTGGAGCAACAAATATAAAACCTATTTAGTTTATACGCCCAGAAATATTGAGAACGGAAAAAACCGAGATTGGTTCTTCTCGGTTTTAGTATTGTTTCTTCTCACATTTTTCTTCTCGGGTTCATGGCGGAAGCGATGTCGATTTTACTATTCCGAACTAAAATCAATTCCGGTTCTGTGGTTGTTGACGAGGGTCGTGAGGTGAAGACGTAGAAAAAATAAGAGTGAGAGGAGAGAGACCAAACTCCTCTCTTGAAATTACCTGAAAGTTATCGAAATAAGCGGCATCTAAATCGATGCAAATTCACTTCTTTGTATATGGTGGAACTGTGCGGCTTAATGAGTGAGAACGACAAAAAACTGGAGGACTTGCTCCGGAAATTCAACCCAATAAAAACCCTTCCATATTAACAGCGTAAGTAAAATGATTTTTTCACAATTTGTGTTAGTGTGTTAGTATATCTTTCATTTTTATTCGAACACGTTTTTCTTAACAAAACGATATCTGTAATGTGTTGTTATGACTGTTTTGCATACATTCATATATACACAAACATAAACGTAACGTAACGAAAACTAATAATTATTAGCTTATAAGCTAATGTGTGAAATAATTAAGAAAATTGGATGCTATTAGCAAACACAGATTTCTATGAATATATGCTTGTATGTTAGCATACCCAAGCACGCAGCCCAGTTTTTTATTCGACTTGTAACTACGCAGTTTGCATATACAACATAACCTCAAATGTACACCTACATACCCTTCAGTTCGGCAGTAGGGTCGCGTTGACATGGCTCAAGGCAAAAAGCTTTTTTTTTGTGTCTAAAACGCTATGCCGTTGTTGACGTTTTTATTTCAATTCTTGAAGGCTAAACCTTAACGGAGAATATGCGCCATTGATCACGAAAATCCGTTGGTAAATCGATTTTTTACAGATTTTTAAACGTGTATACCCAAGTTCAGTATTCGGGAGCAGCGGCCGCTTAACGTTATTTTAAATTTTCAGTGTTGTGGAACGTAAGAATTTTGTGGAAGTAGTTATGCATAACGTCAAAACTGTAAGAGCCACAGTTTTGGGCGGTTTGTGGGCGTTAGAGTGGGCGTGCCACTCTGCTGAAACAAACTTGCGCTGCGCAGGAATCTCAGGAATCTGCACTCCTAGTCCCAGAATTGTAGCTTGTATAGTTTCCGAGATCTTAGCGTTCATGCGGACAGACGGACAGACGGACGGACGGACAGACGGACAGACGGACATGGTCCTGATCCTGATCCTGATCAAGAATATATATACTTTATGGGGTCGGAAACGCTTCCTTCTGCCTGTTACATACTTTTCGAAGAATCTAGTATACCCTTTTACTCTACGAGTAACAGGTATAAAAAGATAAACAAAGACACACAAATAAATATTGACCCCCTCCTTAATGATATCCACTCTTGGTGTGAATACTCCAGCGCTATAAAACCCATCCTTCTCTCCCATAACTCTCTGCTAAAATCTATAGTTACCAAATTATTAAAGACAGAAGCGAATCCCAAAGGTTCCATCTGTCGTCCACAGAGCCTTGAATTCCGGCGTAGAACTTGGTTTACCAACCAATCCACCCATTTCAAAAAAAACCCATTAACCCACCCTGGTCGGATGTATCCAATTTGATAGATACAACTCTGCGTAATCTACCGAAAGCCACCACTCCACAACTAGTCTAACAGCAAAAGTTTCTCGAATTCAAAAACAAATACCCGACCAGCACATTCATCTACACCGATGGTTCCAAAATTTCAGGCGCGACATCCTTTAGTGTAGTATCCAACGACATAAGCCTACAGCACTTACTACCATACTATAGCTTCATCTTCTCTGCCGAAATCATTGCTATCTGCAATGCAGTCCATTTAGCTCAACACTCTACTACTATAAAAACTTGCCACGATGTTCATTTAATTTTAGTCAGCATGAGCCCTTTTGCGTGCTTTCTAATAATTATAACAACCTATATCATTTAATTTGTTCCTCAACTTCTATCCCTATATTAAAAACTTAAATCTTTGCTCATTTGCTTTAGTCTTGTTGATCTATGTTTTGTCCTGTCCTTATTTGTTCTATGTACCTTCCTCGCGAACCGTATTTGCCCAAAATAAAAATGGGCCCGCGCGTAACAAGCACGTGCTTGGTGTTGTTTGGGCCACTTGTTTGTACTGCTCTTAGTTCATCAACGTTCAACAATTAAAAAAAAATATTGTACGTCTTCGGTTAGGACACACTAACTTAACCCATAGGTATCTTTTTACACGCCCTCCCACAACACCCTCTTGCCCCCTATGCAACAACGAAATAAGAACTCCTCGACACATCCTAATAGAATGTTCCTATCTCGATTCCATAAGATCGTCTCTCTTCACTTCCACAAACCCCTTACAATCCATATTTACCCCAGCGCACCACAAATAAAAAACATTATAAAATTCCTTAGCTCTAACTAATATAACTAATGAAATTTAATAAGCTTGTAAACTTATAGATAAAAGATGTTATGAAATGAATAATGCAATTTGTTATCTAGTTTTTAAGCTTAAGGCCACGTAGCTATAGCTTAATTTAAGTTCGCCTGTAAATTTTACATTATAGTCGAACATTTTATAATAATAATATAACTGAAATGCATTAGTCTCGTCAATACCTATCGATTGATCCAAAAAAAAAGTTTGCCACGCCCACTCTAACGCCAATAACGCTTAAATCTCTCTACCGCCCACATAACCATATATTGAGATCAGGGGTAGGTGGCGCATTTCAGTCTCGCTTTGCTGCTTGCATATCTCCATTTCCCTATTGTCCCTTTAGCTGAGTAACGGGTATCTGATAGTCGAGGTACTCGACTATAGCGTTCTTCCTTGTTTTTGTTGAATAAGAACCGGCGGCAAATAGCAAAAAAAATTCATGAGATTAAGACACTTTGTCGGCAACGAGTTCAAGTTAAACACCTTTACAGAATGGATGATTTCGTTTAATGCCACCGGTGCCAAGTATTAGGACACACTACAAATCATTGCCAAAAGCTCTTCAAATACGTCAGATGTGGCCTGCACCGTTTGAGAGTTTGTTCTTATTATCAATACCTATCTACACGTTCAAAATTTTTGAAATCAGACCCGTCATTAAGACCGAATAATAATAAATATTTTGTAATTCAATCGAGATGGCACACCACATGCAGCAAATAAGCTGTGTTCACTAATAAGCCAATAAGCCGCTAGGGGCGATATAAGCTAGTTTGCGCTGTAGGCCAAGTGGCGCGTTAATGGAAGAAGAAGGGGGCGCTATAAGCTAGGTGTGTTAGTAAAAAAAGCACAGTTGCTTTAAGCATATCTCCATCCCTCTCGCACTCACTGCGGCTGAGTAACCGGTATCTAATAGTCGAGGCCATCGACTATAGCGTTTTATCTTGCTTTGACTAAAAAGGTGGAGCAACAAATATAAAACCTATTTAGTTTATACGCCCAGAAATATTGAGAACGGAAAAAACCGAGATTGGTTCTTCTCGGTTTTAGTATTGTTTCTTCTCACATTTTTCTTCTCGGGTTCATGACGGAAGCGATGTCGATTTTACTATTCCGAACTAAAATCAATTTCGGTTCTGTGGTTGTTGACGAGAGTCGTGAAGTGAAGACGTAGAAAAAAAAAGAGTGAGAGGAGAGAGACCAAACTCCTCTCTTGAAATTACCTGAAAGTTATCGAAATAAACGGCATCTAAATCGATGCAAATTCACTTCTTTGTATATGGTGGAACTGTGCGGCTTAATGAGTGAGAACGACCAAAAACTGGAGGACTTGCTCCGAAAATTCAACCCAATAAAAGCCCTTCCATATTAACAGCGTAAGTAAAATGATTTTTTCACAATTTGTGTTAGTGTGTTAGTATATCTTTCATTTTTATTCGAACACGTTTTTCTTAACAAAACGAAATCTGTAATGTGTTGTTATGACTGTTTTGCATACATTCATATATACACAAACATAAACGTAACGTAACGAAAACTAATAATTATTAGCTTATAAGCTAATGTGTGAAATAATTAAGAAAATTGGATGCTATTAGCAAACACAGATTTCTATGAATATATGTTTGTATGTTAGCATACCCAAGCACGCAGCCCAGTTTTTTATTCGACTTGTAACTACGCAGTTTGCATATACAACATAACCTCAAATGTACACCTACATACCCTTCAGTTCGGCAGTAGGGTCGCGTTGACATGGCTCAAGGCAAAAAGCTTTTTTTTTGTGTCTAAAACGCTGTGCAGTTGTTGACGTCAGCAGAGAAGTCGACGCAGGGTAGAGGACTGCCTACGAAAACGATCGTGCAACAAAGAGAGGCAGGTATTCGGAAGTTTTTCTAATAATAAGTAAACATAATATTATAAGTAAATTCAATTTAGTTAATTTTTCTATGATCAAATAATTTACTTTTATAAAACAATATTAGATGTTTTTTTTTCGATAATGTCGCTGCACGAAAATTGTTCCGCCGAAATGTTCATCGCTAGCCGAACATAACGGAAAGACGCAAAAGAAATAACGGACCGTCCGAAATTTGTCTCTGAGAGCGCCGAGTGCAGACAGATTTTGAGACAAAGAAGGAGAGGGAACCTCCGAGTCATGGTAGAATTATACAAGGTAGTCCCGTCGGCTGCCTAATCGTTCGGCTTTCAGTTCGTTAACGTGCTTCAGCGATATTGCTATCCTTTTCACCTGCACGTATTGCGAGTATCGTTAACGGACTAAATTTTGCCGACGGGACTACCTTGTATAGTTGTACCATGCTCCGAGTATCGGCTTCTCTTTGTTGGACGATCGTTTTGCTGACGTCAACAGCGTCACAGCGTTTTAAGCACAAAAAAACAAAAGGCTTTTTGCCTTGAGCTATGTCACCGCGTCCCTACTGCAGAACTGAAGAGTCTATATGTACATACATATATGTAATAGATTGTTTTCGCAGCCATCTTAAGCACGACATAAATGTAAAGGGTATATGTTTGTATAGTATTAATAAAAATCATTTCTTGTTTTAGGTGCCGTGGTTTCTTACGAGTGCCTTCAGTATATAAATATTGATGAAATTAAAGTCGTCATCCCACCGATTGGGCTCCGTGTGCTTTTTACGGTTGACGGAGTGGAAGGATGTTTATGACATTATGTTAATGACATTAAAGCCATAAGGCCAAAATATATATAAATGGAAATAGTTTAACATTTTTATTGAGAATGGATTATGGGATCGAGATCGATGCGATGTTGAAACCGAGAACGGTTTTTCTCGAAGGATTCCGAGAAGGATTCATACCGAAATCGAGATCAATTCAATGTTGAAACCGAGAACGATTCATACCAAAACCAAGATCAAGATCTCAAAAGCCCGTTCGCTAGCCGAGAAGACTTTGATGACGACCTTAGGGTTTTTAGATCGAAAATTCTGAAATCAAGAACTCTGAGAACGTTTTTTTCTCTGAGTGTATGTGTTTCAGCAGTGCCAGAGCAAAGATTTGGGGAAAACTAAGTCTAATAAATATATACAAGTATTGATAAGATCTTTAGAAACAGTTATTGGTACTTTGTGTTGTTTTGTATTGCGTCTTTTGATAGTGGCACCATCACATTTCCAGCAGTACCTTGTGGGGTATCTTGACGAACATTTAATAGGGAATGAAGATTTAATTTCGGATTTTTGTGAACTAGAAATTGAACAACTTTGGAGGTGTCTGAATCGGTATCAACAAATCCATTTTTGATGATAAATACTCGAATTTTCATTATTAGGCCAGAGATGTATATAGCAACCCTCGTATAGTAAATAAATAAGGTAAAATAAATTAAAAATCTTGAACCCGTTCTGATAAGTTCTGCAGTTACTTGCCTCCTGGGGCAATGCTGGACTTGTGCTAGATGTGAAATTGATCCTTAAAAAAAAACGGTTACAAAACATGGTCAACGCACACTAAGAAGATCGAAAATCCACGCTAAACATTTGGCGGAGGGACAGTTAGAGAGTTGGAAGAAATTGTATGTACCTATCTATTTATTTTTCTTGTCCTCTTACAACGTCTAGAAGCCGTTTTCATACCTCAAATTCGGACTGGCTGAGCGGCTGCGCGAATGTTGGATCTGATGCTGGTGGTCTACGTAATGAACGATTGCGGATGTGACTTCCTTAATTGAGCTTTGAATCTCTGGTGTTACAGAATGAACGATTCTGTTTTCATTGAGTGCATAAATGGGTGATGGCTTTGTCCGATGGGTCAGCAGCGAGTTGGCCAGACTGAAAATAGAAAATATGATAAGTTAAGTTATTAAGTTGTTTCTCTCTCGGTAACGACGCACAGTGGTTCGGCTTGTATGGAGCTGCGGCCATAATTACTTTTAGTTATTATATTGTTACAAAATTTTCCCCAAAATTAAAAAAAACAAGGAAGAACGCTATAGTCGAGTACCTCGACTATCAGATACCCGTTACTCAGCTATATGGAGATATGCAAGCAGCAAAGCGAGATTAAAATGCGCCACCTACCGGCGGTATACAGATTTAAGCGTTATGGGCGTTAGAGTGGGCGTGGCAAATCAATTGGATCAATCGATAGGTATCGACGAGACCAATATATTTCAGTTAAAATTTTTTATCTAGCATGAAAATTGTGGGCGTCACAGGTTTTCGCGGTTTGTGGGCGTTAAAGTGGGCGTGGCAAACTTTTTTTTGGGTCAATCGATAGGTATTGATAAGAACAATACATTTCAGTTAAAATTTTTATTCTAGCATCAAAACTGTAGGAGCCACAGTTTTGGGCGGTTTGTGGGCGTTAGAGTGGGCGTGGCACTGTGCCGAAACAAACTTGCGCTGCCAAATCTCAATAGCCTAGCTCCCATAGTTTCCGAGATCTCAGCGTTCATCCGGACGGACAGACAGACGGACAGACGGACATGGCTAGATCGACTCGGCTAGTGATCCTGATCAAGAATATATATACTTTGTGGGGTCGGAAACGCTTCCTTCTGCCTGTTACATACTTTCCGACGAATCTAGTATACCCTTTTACTCTACGAGTAACGGGTATAAATATTATAAATATATGTATGTTATAAGAAATGGCCATATCGTACGTCTATATGATATAGCTGCTATAGGAACGATCGCCGCCGTGACGACACCTTTTTTTTCCACCACCAACTTTGAAGTCTCATTACTTTTTGAACAGCCCTCGTATCGAGGCAATTTTTTTTTTATTTACTTTCATAAATTTAAATATTCTCCCCCGTCTAATTTTCAAGCTATACACCTACTAAAATAATATCATATCAAAAAATCATAAATTAAACAATCATATTGTAAGCCAATTTATTATTCTCAATATTATTTTGAACATCCTCGATAATTTCCCGTAATTTCGCAGCGTTGCTACCACCTTTGGTGCACCATAAATTTAAAATATAATGTCGTGAAAATACACAATGATACGAATCTCCTTTGGGAATGCAAACAAAAATTATAAAAGAAAAACGGAAAAATAAGTAGAATAATTTTAAGTAAAAGAAATAAACTGACAAATAGAAACTGTAAGCAATCACAAAAGACGAACACAAAGACACAACAAAAACAGAGACACAAAAGACGACACAGGGGCTCCGCTGCAGCGCGCTGGCAAAATTTGACCTTGAAAAAATAAGAAGTCGTGTTAGCATATTAACGATTACAACTACATTCGCAACATTCCGCACCTAACTTTAACGGTTTTAAAATCTTAAAACTCTGATAAGTATAAAAAAAAAATCCTTGTTTGGAATCGTGTGGGATCACAACTAAAACTTTAGGTAAACAAATTTGAGACACACAAAACAGGTACAAACAAAGAGGTTTCACATATCAAGTTAGATTTTATTTATTTCATATCAAGTTAGTATAAATTAATTTCATAAAGTAAAAAAATACCTTGAACTTCAAAATCCATTTTGAATAATATAAATTTATCAACTTGAACAGTTCCAGTCCGATTTGAAGTGCGCTTTTGCTTTGAAATATTTCAACACAGCTCCGATGCGCTGTTGAAATGAACACGTGTTCATGCTTTTGATTCTATTTTTAGAATGTACCGTTGGGTTTCCAGTGAAAACCGGTTTGCAAATTGGAAGATTGGACATTTTAGAGACAAACTGAGTATGTTTAATTTAAATATTTTCAAATCGGTTTTTTGATTTTTGGCCTCTGACGGAACCACTGTGCGACGTTAGCAATCATGAACACGCAGTCCAAAAAATATTAAAATTTTGATGAGCCATTTTCACTTTTTATACCCGTTACTCGTAAAGTAAAAGGGTATACTGTATTCTTCGGAAAGTATGTAACAGGCAGAAGGAAGCGTTTCCGACCCCACAAAGTATATATATTCTTGATCAGGATCACTAGCCGAGTCGATATAGCCATGTCCGTCTGTCCGTCCGTCCGTCTGTCCGTCTGTCCGTATGAACGCTGAGATCTCGTAAACTGTACAAGCTACAATACTGGGATTAGGCATGCCGGCCAAAGCTGTGGCTCCTACAGTTTTTATGCTAGAATAAAAATTTTAACTGAAATGTATTGTTCTCATCAATACCTATCGATTGACTCAAAAAAAAGTTTGCCGCGCCCACTTTAACGCCCACAAACCGCAAAAACCTGTGACGCCCACAGTTTTCATGCTAGATAAAAAATTTTAACTGAAATGTATTGGTATCGTCGATACCTATCGATTGATCCAAAAAAATTTTTGCCACGCCCACTCTAACGCCCATAACGCTTAAATCTGTCTACCGCCGGGAGGTGGCGCATTTTAATCTCGCCTTGCTGCTTGCATATCTCCATTTCCCTTTGGTCCCTTTAGCTGAGTAACGGGTATCTGATAGTCGGTGTACTCGACTATAGCGTTCTTCCTTGTTGTTTTTGCATTTGCGGCTAAAGTTGGAATCTCCAGCCGAAGTTTGCATACAGCCAAAACCATGCCACGCAATCATTTGTTTTATTATATTTATAAGTTGTTTAATATTATTTTCTCATAATATTTCGATTTGACCGTATATGAAATAATTTCCCGATCAAAAAACATTTAAATTCGAAATACTGAAATCTTAAAGACAGGCTAGTACAAGTGAATATGAATATGAATAAAAGTTAGAGCGGGCGATGCACCCACAAACTTGCACTGCGCTGGAAGCCCAAGTCCCAACATTCTAGCTTTTATAGTTTTCGAGATCAGAGATAGAGTAAGCTAGAAGAAAAATATATATATTTAAATACGCGCTAGTGAAGCAAAAATGGGCATAAAAACTAAATGCATATGAATAATAAACTAATGTCGCATTTCCTTTTTGGAGTTTCTTAAATGCATGAACTCGCCGTTAATTATTTTTTAAATTTATGTTCCGTAGGAGTTTACGAACCTGAGTTCGCAATAATTTGGAATCGTCTGCAATTTTCTACAGCCCATTCGGCGGCTGCTTTAGTCTAAATCTGTTGTGGAATCCAAATCCTGCAAAATCTCGACAGTAACACGCAAGGACGCATTAGTGTTTTACCGAAATTTGATGTTCCGTGAGAGTGCTTATAAACCTTGATGCAATTCCTACATCCAACAAGGTTCTTTAGCTAGACACCATTTTGCTTCCCCTTCCTTCCTTCACCACCAACTGTGTATATGCCAGAGATCAATATTTCCCTAACACCTTCGGTTGTATATTACAATGTATGTATGTAGCTTTCCCAAAAGCTTTTTTCTATTGCAGGTAGTAAATATGTCGGAACGAGCCGGATTGGACAACTATATTCTGTAGCTCACATAGGAAGGATAAAAAAAATTTTTTTATTAAATGTAAAAATTATAACTTCTGTGTTTTCTTAACTATTAACTTCTGTTAATAACTTGATATTCCTTTGAGTAGAAGATAATATCAAAAACACCGAAGCTATAGTTTTACAAAACATTTTCCTTAATTTTCCGATTATTCCTTTGGAAGCTATAGGATATAGTTGTCCAATCCGGACTGTTCCTACTTATATACTTCCTGCAAATTTTTTGTTGGGCAGGTCCTGATATCTTCAAAGCTGAAAGACTGAAAGTCATATCCGACCCCGGGCACAGTCTTGAGGAACTAAAGTGCTCAATGATCCACCACCGCCGTCGTCCCCTTCCCAACGGAACTATACTTATTTATACTTTGTTACTATTTTGAAAGTCTTAAGTTAATGTTAGACGCTGACAAAATTCCTGTCCTCGATCTGTGCGATTTGTTTTCTGATTTCTTTCGGCCGGAGCACTCATAAATTTAATGTTTAAAATCACACACTACAAGTGAATTGCAATTAAAATAGTATTAATAATCACTGCAAAAAGCACATCACTGAGCGCTCATTGAGCGCGCAATTTGTATGAAAATGAGTGCTAAATAAACATAAATCTAGCACGCATTGAGCGCTTTTTATTTGAGCAGCAAAAAAAACACACGTTAAGTGCTCGTTTAAGAAGCAAAAAAGCACACGTTCAGAACACGTTAAGAGCTCTTTTAAGCAGCAAAAAAGCACATGTTAAGCACCTTTTCATCGCATAGCAGCAAATATATGTAGGATTGGCAGCCCTATTAATAACAGATTAGTTGTTCTGTTCCGTAACATTTTTTTGTAGTGTTAAAAAGCGTGAAAAATGCGCAAGAGTAGTAGAGATTGAGCATCAGCAGAGGAAGGTCGCGTGTGACTCAGTAATAATTAATGTGTCAACTTAAGTATATAAACGGTATCAATGAAGTGTATCAAGCGAAGAATAAGCCATTAATAACCAGTAAATAAATTTACGAATGCCAATGGAGGCCTTTCTATACCATTTTGGTTTTCGTCCGGGAACAATCGATGAACGAAAAATTGAGTGTGATACGCGGCCAAACAACCATGAAGTTCTTGTGCTACGAATCCATCGATCGCAGTTTAATGAACAAAACGAAACGGAGAAACTAGAAAGTTATAAAACTAAAGTGATTATGAGAAAGAGAGACTAAAAAACCATCCAGGAGAGCTGAGAATTTTCATGTTGCGCAATTCCAGCAAGTTCTGCAAAGTATTGTGAAATTCTGAAACTTCAAAACTACAAAATTTATTGCGTTGGCCGATCTGAGTGCAAAATTGGTTCTGTGGCGACAAGTAAATTCCTAACGGAAGACGACAAAAGGCGTTTATACAATTCGTTGTCGCACAGAGTGACAATATTGGCAGAGATGCAGATGAGGTGAAAAATACGAGGCGGCAAA